GTTGTGGAGTCTCCTTCTCTGGAGATCTTCAAACCCGCTTGGCCGCAGCCCTGTGCCACGTGCTCTAGGTGACCCTGTGTGTGCAGGGGGCTGCACTGGATGATCCCTAGAGCTCCCTTCCAACTTCAACCATTCCATGATCCTATGATTCTCTTTGCCTCTGACCTCCGCTCCATCCCTGTGTCCGCAGTGAACGTCGTGGAGGCGCTCCAGGAGTTCTGGCAGATGAAGCAGTCGCGCGGAGCCGACCTGAAGAACGGGGCGCTCGTGGTGTACGAGATGGTGCCGTCCAACAGCCCTCCCTACGTCTGCTACGTCACCTTGCCGGGCGGCAGCTGCTTCGGGAGCTTCCAGGTGGGATCGCTCGCTCGGCGGCCGCCCCTGCTCCTCCGTGTGTCCCCCTCGCTTGGCTGCCCATGCAGTTCCTTTTCCCAGCCCACGTGTCTTTCTGTGGGGGCACAGAGTAAACATTTTTCCACTAAACTGAGGCGTGAGGAGGATGTGGCTCTGGCTGTGTGCTCGAGCTGGCTAATAAATGTGCATAATTTCCGCTATAAAACTCCACCCTGCTGCAATCCTGGAAGTCTGGCTGTGAATGTGACCTTGCTGCGCGTGCTGCGTTCCCTGCAAGTGACTGATGTAGATCCTAGCAGTGCCGAGATGAGATCCGTGTTATCAGGGAAGATTGCTCTGTGTTAGAAGGACTGTTTTTAATCCTTCACTGTCCTCCATGGGATCAAGCCATTCGGTACATTTGCAGGATGAAGCTTGGACAACTTGGTGGAATTAACAGAATAGCAGGATAGGGGCCCTGGATCTGACCCAGAGCGTCTTCTCTAGCTGTCAAAAGGATCTAGAAATCAAATTGTAGCATTCGATGAATGGTTTCTGTCCCTCTCCTGTTAAAAGGAAAGTGTCCAACCCAAACACCTCACCCAGAAGATTAAGGTCCAAAAATCACAGAGGGTCCTGACTGCGGTTTGGATTCCTCCGCCCTAGCAGCTTTAGGCAGTTACCCTCTGGTCTTGGTTTGAGGGACGTTTCCAAAAGAAACATTTCTGGCAGCTAACCGGCCTCCCCGTCCTGAAGAGCAGCCCCTGTGTCTGGAGTAATTTGGTTACGTTTTGGTTTGGAGCGAACGAGCGTTGTTGACGATCTGATCGGTGGCATTTCCCGGGCCAGATACTATGTGCTGAGTTCAGCAGCCTGTTGAATTTCGGTGTTTTAGCGTGGTTGGGATAGCTGTGGTTGAAACCAGCTCCTAATGGCTTCAGGCTGTCTGGGAGTGCAGCTCTCCCTGCCACCTAACAGCGTTCCGCGTGTCCGGGGGATTCTGGAGCTGCCTTTCTGCCCTGACGGTGCCTCTGTCTCCTCAGTTCTGCCCAACCAAGGCTGAAGCCCGTCGCAGCGCCGCCAAGATCGCGCTGATGAACTCGGTCTTCAACGAGCATCCGTCGCGGAGGATCACGGACGAGTTCATCGAGAAGAGCGTTTCAGAGGCCCTGGCCTCCTTCAACGTAAGGCTTTTCAATGCCACCGTGGCTGCTCTTGGGCTGGGTCGGCTGAGGGAAACTCAAAAGGTGGGAAAAGAAGCTCTCTGGGAATCTTTGTGATGGGCTTTTTCAGAGAGTTGGGGTTGCTCTAATTCTTGTTCCCTTGCCACGCAGTCCCGAACACTTCTTGGTACTCAAAGTATTACAAAACTTTGCAATTCCCTTAGTGGGCTGCAAGGAAAAAAGCTATTTCAAATGGCCCTGTTACCCCATGAAAGCGGGAGCGAACGGAGCAAGCGCTCCAGGCTGAACTAGTCCTGCGTGGCCAGGCCAGTTTGGAGGGGAGACAGAGGGGATTTGCCTCGGGAATCGGGATCGCAGCTCTCGTGTGGAATCTCCCGCAGGGCAATCGAGAGGAAGCCGATAATCCCAACACGGGGATTGGCGCCTTCCGCTTCATGCTGGAATCCAACAAGGGCAAGTCAATGCTGGAGTTCCAGGTACTTCATTAGTTATATGGTGCTCGGGTTGCTCTTTCAGCTCTCTCTGCAGTGCTTTACATTTGGAATATAAATACAGGGGGATTGGTGTTGACAGTCCAGGACTATAGCCCCTATCCTGCCTCGGGACCTCCACGGAGCTATTCCATTTGTGTTTCTTTTGCCCTGACCCTATGTGATGAGGAAGACTCCGCTTTCCTTAGGAAAGCTGATGAAGATCTTTGATCCAAACATCATCCTTGCAGAACAAGGAGTCTCGATTACTGCCCTCAAACCACAGCAGGGGCCAGGGGGTCTTCCTGTCCCACCAAAACGGGCTCGGTCTGTGTGTCATTATGCCAAAACATCTGTGAAATGTGAAGTACCAACTGCCATAGGAAGCTGTTCCAGCGCTTCTCAGTTTGGCCTAATGCAGCAGGAGGAGCTAGTGCAGAACAGATGACTGAGAACAGAGATTTTCCCGGGCTTTATTCCAGCCTTTGGGAGGAAGCTGCTCCTCCGGGTCACCCTGTGTTTACCTGGGGCCGCGGCGGCTGGCGCTCGGAGCGCACGGAGCTCGACTGGAGCTTAGAGCTCCCCGCTGGGTTCCGCTGAATCCAGACTTCCGAGCAGCCGATCGCACAAAGCGATTCCCAAGGAGCTGGAGCCTGGAGGAGGAGCGGAGCCCGGCCGCACCGCGGCCGCCTTCTCGCCTGGCTTGTTCCCTTGAATGGAAGTAGCCGGTGGCGGGAGCCCCGAGTGTTTATGTTACTGGCCCTGTTTACACAGGGCGACTCCGTTGTGGATATTCCCGTGGCAGTGTTTGTATTTGGGGAAGCCTAACCAGGCATGGCACTTGTGAGGCAGGATTTGGGTGGCCTCGAGAGGGGAAAAAAGGGCCCTGTGGGTCCCGGGGTCTGTCCCCTGTCCCGAGTTGCTCTGAGGTTGCCCCGAGGCAGGGTAGCAACATCCCGGGGGCAAAACGAAGCATCGACACCTCTGTCCCCTGCGGAGCGCTCGCATGTGTGGGGTGGATTTGGCCAGCGGTGGGAGCCAGGCCTTGTCCGTGCTTCCTGGCTTGAAATCCTTGGAATCACGGAGCTCCGCTGGCGCATAGTCCTTTCTCTGCCGCCCGTGTACCCGTAGCTAGAAACAAACTCCCCCTCTTGCTCCCCAAGGGGCGCGTGCCGGCGCGGCCGTCCCGGGGTCTCCGCGCGGTCCCGGTGAGTCCGCGCGCGCCGAGGAGCCGCGCGTCCCCCGCGCCCGTCCCCCCTAAGCTCCCACCTGTGTCCCTGGGCACCAGGAGGTGCTGGCTCACTACTCCCACCGCGCCCTGGACGACGACATCCGGAACCAGATGGCCATGGACTGGGTCAACCGGGAGCAGAGCAGCCCGGGGGCCCTGTCCCGAGAGCTGGCGTCCACGGAGAGGGAGCTGGATGAAGCCCGCCTGGCCGGGAAGGAGCTGCGCTTCCATAAGGAGAAGAAGGACATCCTGATGCTGGCGGCCGGACAGCCGGGGAGCCTGCACCCCAACTGCTAGACACCCACGTGCCGGTCCGTCCTGGCCCACTAGCCCCCGGCCGGCCCGTGTCACAGCGCATGCGATGCCTCTTCCAGAATCATGGCCCATTTGCACATTTTAAAGGATTTTTTTAAAATGCCTGTACAGATTTTTATACTTTTTTTTTTTTTTAAGAAAACTCCCTTCTAGATTTACTCCCCCGCTTCCTTTCTGGTAGAATCCCTTCTGTCACTTTAAAGAGTGCATTTAAAAAATGCAGCCTTTCAGTATTAACACTAAAGCCCTTTCAGTATTAACACTAAAGCCCTCCGCTGCACATGGGTACTGGGTAATGGGCAGTATTAGGTGGAGATGTAGCACTTCTTTGGGAAGCTCCCATCCTTTGGAGCTCGTGCATGCTGCATAGACCTGCATTTTCACCCTGCTTCCGTCGTTTGATCCAAGCTGCTTGGTAAGCACAGTAATGCTAAACAAAATCTGTTCTCTTTAATTCCCCAGTGCAAGCATTGGGGAATACAGCTCCTGGAGCTCCAGAGCTGGATCCCTTCTTTCCAATACAGTGTTGGAACAAAACACTGCTGAGTCGAGAATCTCTATATGCACTATTTTTTTTTAATGAATAGCTCCCTGCTCTTTGTATACTTACTAGTACTAAATGTTTAGATTAAAAATACCCTTCCTGACACTTGTGTTCCTGCAGCTCACATTCACAGCCCAAGAAGTAGGGGTTTGCTCATGGTAGTTCTTGTATCACTTCCTACTTCTCTAATACACAGCCTAGAAGAGCCAACAGTGTCACAGCAGGACTATAAATTGAAGGCAGATTTCTTTCTTCGATGCAGTATTCAGCTCTGAGCTTTCTCCTCTGTTTTTTCCCCCTGTTTTGGTTTATTTTTCCACTCCCATGACGACACTCTGGGAAGAGGTACAAAGCCTTTGGGAATCTGACGGGTAGTTTTTGCTATTTCCATACCAAACCACCCCTCAACCCTCTCCTTCCTCCGAAGCAGCCTCTTACAGAGCACGCGTGAGCTTAGAGGCGCGTGGATATTCAAGCAATAGTCTTGTTCTGAAATGAAGATCAAGAAAACCACATTATCTGTAGGTATTCTAGTTTTGTATTCTTGTCCTAACACGCCTATTTTGTTTTTATATATTTTTTATATGCAGCCTTTTACACAACAGTATTAATGTTTAATGCGTTTATAAATGTGATTGTAAATGGAGTGGAGTTTTGTTTTGTTTTATAGGTTGGTAATAGCTAGACCTTGTATTTGAGTTTAATCACTTGCTCGAAATAACGCAGAATCTAACGTCTTCCTATTAGCACTCCCACACCTGCGTGTAGCGTTTCAGTGCCTCGTGTGAAGCGGTGATTTATTTGATGGCCCGAGCTTGCAGATACAGCAGATCCGGAGAAACTTCCCTTTTGGAGCAGCTGGTGTGTGGCTGGGTGCCAATCCTGCTCCCATCTCCAGGTTTTCACGTTATTTTGACTTGGATCAGTCCTTCCCCCTGCATTACAGACCGGGGTTTGTCATCCTTCCTAGCAACTTTTCACCTTCCTAGCGACACGAGATGGAAAAACGTGACCCAGCAAAGTTCCGAGGCGCCCAGTTCTTGGCCAATTTGGAATCTGCTTGGATTTTGCAGCTTAGAAACAGTCACTTAGAGCCGTAGAGACCAACGGAGCAGAGCTGGTGCGTTCTTGCTGTAAGAAACCCCAGTGCCTGCTCAGGAGGCCTCGTGCACCCCCATCTCCCTGGGTGCAGTGGGGAGTTTGGGCCCAGAATTGCTTCTGGACACCCTCTTTGAGTGAATCCTGCCTTTTCCTTCATGGCATGAGGCCGTGTCCGTTAAAATATCTTTACTTAAATGTATGTAGCAGCACAGGGCGGGGAGCTGCATCCCTTGGGGAGCAGGAGGGCTTCTTGCCGAGCAGTTTTGTGCCCAACGTCGCAGCACAAGTCGCCCGGGCTGCTCTCACCAGTGCTCTGCACGTCAGGACCTTAATGGCTTTAGCAAAGCTCCGCGTAACTCCGCTCTGTCCCGCAGCGCCGAGCCGGACGCGATCCAGCCGATCCAGCAGCCGCTCCGAAGCGGAGAGGAGGATCGTGTTGTTTCCACTGCCAAAATCCAAGTCTGTAAATCGGCCGCGCTGGCAGGAGGGAAGGTACCGTGAAAACCCGAGCTGCTCGGGTGCCTTGGCTAAACGGACGCTGTTTTCCTGTCTCGGGAGGTGATAACGCCCCGGCCCGAGGGACCAGGAGCCCCTTATGGATTTTCCCCTTTGGGAAGGGTGGGATGAGCAGCTGCTGAAGCCCTCGAGCTTGTCTGAAGATGTTGTCGCTGCAGAGTCTGCTGCAGAATGAGCAAAACCAGCGCAGCCTCCACCGGCTGCAACGCCTGGGCCTGTGCAGGGGTCCCCTCTTCCCCCTTCTTTTGGGGCTAAAACACCACTAAGCCCAGGCAGGCGCTGGGCGGGTTTATATTAAAGAGTAGTAAGAGATAAACCTGTTTTCTTTGCTACAATCCCATGTTTATAGTCTTGGAGGTCATCTTTCCAGCTCCCGAGGGGCAGGCGGGAGGGCATTGCATCTATCCCATGGCAGCAGCAGCATTAATATCCCGAAAACCTAAGATCCCAAATCTTGTCTTCCCTGTTTGTGCTGTCGAGTTAAACCCAAGGCTGAAGTGATAAATCCCCTCTCACGTGCCGGCTCTCCCATCTCTTGTGTGTGCCAGGATTCACCGCATCGTTGCATTTTGTATGTATAATTTTATACAATAAAGCAATAGATTTTGGGGTAGCTGTGGCCCTTTCTCCCTTTTATTCGAAATGGCCAATCCTGCTGCC